ATATATATATATATATATATTTTAAACAATAAATTTTAAACAAATAAATTTATATTAATTTTAAAATATTTATTTTTATAAAATTTAAGATAATTTATTATTTATTGTTAAGATGTGTCTATACAGAAAATAAATGAATAAATAAATGTAAAACAGAAATAAATGTATATGGTAGTACTTAGTTTTATAAGATGCAAATATTCTTTTATACAATTAATATTATATCATCCTAGTTGTCATAGTTATTTATGACACTATTGATGTATACATGACACTTGAAAATATGATGTTCATTTGTTACTAATGTTTACATGCCTACATCCCTATTCTAATCATTGAACATCAATTATACAGCACTTTAAGATCGATGTAGCAGCAAAACCAATCATAAACTAAATCATGAAGGGAAGATCTGATAAAGGAACAATAACAACGTTGGACACAAGATGAAGAATCCTTTTTAATTCAAATAATGATGAGACCCATCCCAAATTCCCAATTACACACCTTAAAAAGCATAAACACATTGTCCGTTTGAGTTGAGGTGATGTCACCTAGATTTCCCTCCCAAACTGTTTTGGTCTCAATACTCAACCGGCACACAACTTTAGGAAGAAGCAAACTTTAGAACAAAACAAATGTTACTCTTTAATTTGAAATTTAAGATGAGAAGAAAAAACAAATACCCGAATAAGATCGTGTAGGTCCCCCACACGGTTTATCTTCCCATTGCTCCAAGTAACATATTGTTTCATTCGGCAGTGAGTTTGTCATAATAACCACATCCATAACACGACACTGTCCCTTTATTAATGACATATAAGTCATGAAAGCATCAATGCAGTTCAGAGCAGAGAAACACCTTATAAATTTTCATGGATCCCGCCCATGAACCAACATTTAAATTTTCAAGAATCTTCAAATTCAAGGCTTAAACGACACGTTTCAGTCTATGAACAAAGTTGAGGGGCATGTATGAAATTAAGGGAGAAAAGGGGGGCATATTGATTTCCAAACCCGACCACCCTTTGAAGGTGATTTTATTGCAGAAATCAAAACTGATCCGAGATGAGTTGCCAGGTCCCTCTGCATTTCACCTTACGTTGTACCATGTACACCAAACCAAAGAGGATCACCATTGCCTTTTCTATCCAAATTTACATTTTTCTTAAAAAAGAAAAATAATATTATAAGTTAAGAAACATGCATTCTTAATATAAAATTGATTAAAATACCCATTTAATTTATTCTTTATAATTAAAATATTTTATTTTAATCCATGTATATATCAATTTTTTTATAACATTTATTTATTATAAAAACTAAAATAAAATTTATAAAATTAATCAGACTAAAATGTAAAATTTATTAATTATAAAAATCAAATAGGTGTTTATATATATATATAGTTTTTTTAAAAAAAAATTATAAAAGATTTGTTTAAAAATATTTTATTAACTTTTACCATAACTATTTTAAAAATTATAAATATAATGATTTATAAATTATTATATGAACAAAGGAAAGATTTTTACACCACAATGCGTGCATATGAACCTCAAACTAATAAAAAAAGTATTTAGTATAATTTTGATTGTAATTAGTTTATTGATAAAAAAAAATAACTTTCATGAGAATTTGTAATTCAATTGAATGAAAATATTAATATTACTATCCTATATTTTCTTTTTTATATAAATTTTGTAAGTTTTGTTTTGGCTGTCTCCAATTCCATTGGTCACTCACTCAATAACAAAGCTGACTTTTTCTTTTCCAGAAACCATTTTGTATTTATTACTCATTTTCCTCTCAACCAACACTGCTTTCTCTTTCAGGGTTGGCTTATCTTTTGCTAAAACCCTCAAATTTATTTCATTTTGGTGTTTCTCTGCTATTGCCCCATTTTCTTATTTTATTGGGGGAAGAGGCCTTTTGATTGAAGTTGGTTGTTCAGGCTTGTTTTAGCTGAAAATCAAATTTTAAGAGAATCTGAAGACAATAATTGTGAGCAAAAAAACAGTTTTTTTTTTTTTTTTTTAAGTGTGATATTCCATTTTTTTGTTTTTTCGCTGGATGTTCATTTGTCCACAGGGACTGCTTGAAGGACCAATATATAATATAAATAAATGTAATAAAAAAAATTGAAAGTTTTGGACTGGATCTTATTTATTCGGGCCTTTCCTTTTTTCTTGTCTCAAATGAAGCTTTTGACCTTCTAAACCAACAAAATGGCGGTTACAAGTAACTAGTAAATCACTAAATCATATCATATGTTTGTACATGTAGTTATTTATTTATTGTCACACACCTAACCCTGCAATATTATTATTAGTATTTTCAATTTTTCTGAATCTGGGAGTATGCAGGGTGAAAATTGAGGGTGAACTTTCAAGGAGGCAGAAAGCTAGATGACCTATATCTCAAGTCATATTTATGTGTCTATGAGGTTCAGGGGAGATTGGATTGGATTGGATTATTTTCTGTTGTAGTAGGAAGGACAAGATACTATTTATGCAGAGGAATCTTTTGTGGAGGCTTCCTTCAAGGTGTTTTCGATAGTAGAGCCAAATAGTTGGATCCAAATCACACACTCCTTTACCTTTATTGTAGCAGATTCTTTTCGACTATTTTGACTTGGTAGGTGGTTATTTGAAGTCACAAAAGGCACAACAGCTAGTGGAGTGAAGGGTCTCCTTTCAAATCTCTCATCAAGCAACAAGCAAAGTAGTGTGTTGTGCTAGCTTTCACTGTTTTGAATCTTGTTGGATTTCAGAAAGCTTTTGCATTTTGAACTGGGAGCTGCTGTATCAACCTCTTGCTTTCTGATCCACAAAAGGGTATCTTATTCTTATCGGATTTTATACTACTTTGGGAATGTACTTGTAGGTAATATAAAAGAAACAAGATTCTGTGAACGTTGGGGGAGGTTTTACTTTTGAGTGTGTGATACTGATACATATGTTTTGAATTTGGTTGTAAGAATTTGTCTCTTTTATTGCCGGGTGGAATGTACAAGCATGTTGGTGATAAGATAAATAATAATAATTGTACTGGTGGGGCAGGCCGATGATTGATAAATATGATACTAAACGTCTTCTTGTGTATCAGTTTCTCCTATATAGGAATTGGCAACGCATATGCTTTTGGTGGTCGTTAAGAGTTGAATCTTTTGAGCAAGTTAGTTTTTGAGGCATTGTTATTGGTGCTGAATCTGATGAGTCGAGAGCAACAGAAGCGGGGGAAACAAGAGAAAGGTTCTGATGCTGCCGAGAAGGTCATTGTTGCCGTTAAGGCATCAAAGGAAATTCCAAAGACTGCTCTTGTATGGTCCTTGACTCATGTTGTTCAACCTGGAGATTGCATTACACTGCTAGTGGTTGTGCCTTCACAAAGTTCAGGTGATTGTGCTTCCTCTTTCGCTTGCATTTGATCTACTTTTGGGCTTCTTTTTCTTGCTGGATATTGTTTTTCGTGGAAAATTGGAAAAATGGTGAATTGTTTCCTTTGATTCAGATGTGAGTATGTGACATGGTCAGTGGTTGAGGTTTCTCATATATATTACCCCGCTCTTTTATCATATATGGGGATTTTTTCTGGGTATTGCATTTTGAAATCATGTCATGGCAGTGTGATAAGAAATGTCTATGAGTGCATTCCTGGTTCTAAACTATGAACTTTGCTAGTGTTTGTTTTGTGGGAATTTCAACCTTCACCTTGCTGTTATGTGTAATTGACTGTTCTTCTACTTGTATTCAGGCAGAAGATGGGGTTTTCCAAGATTTGCTGGTGACTGTGCCAGTGGTATTAAGAAGTACCCTCCAGGAACAATATCAGAGCAGAAGAGTGACATTACTGATTCTTGCTCTCAGATGATCCTTCAGCTCCATAACGTCTATGATCCAAACAAGGTTAGTAGCCTTGGTGTGTGCAAGGTTCATGCAAATTGAATGTTGAGGTTGTATCCTTATTCCAATCTTTTCCCAACAGATAAATGTGAGGATTAAAATTGTTTCCGGATCACCTTGTGGAGCAGTGGCTGCTGAAGCCAAGAAAGCACAAGCCAATTGGGTTGTATTAGACAAGTAATAGTCTCTCTTATCTTTTCCTTACTAAGAAGCATGCTACTGTAACCATGAAACTTGGTGATATCTCCATTTTTTGTTTATTGTTGATCTGAGGATATAATTGAGTTTGTGTTATTGTTTTTGGTGTTGCCTTCTTTGCAGACAGCTAAAAAATGAGGAAAAGCGATGCATGGAAGAATTGCATTGTAACATTGTGGTTATGAAACGTTCTCAACCAAAAGTACTGCGCTTGAATTTGATCGGACCACAGAAGAAGGATGTTGAAGAAGCAGGTCCATCATCTTCTGAGCAAGATGAAATGCCTGAAAAGAAAACCAAACAAAAGCTTGATTCCTTAAATTCTATAAAAGGACCTGCTGTAACTCCAACTAGCAGCCCTGAGCTAGGGACACCATTCACTGCAACTGAAGCTGGCACTTCATCAGTTTCAAGCTCTGATCCTGGAACTTCACCATTCTTTATCTCAGAGATGAATGGTGAGTGCAAAAGGGAGGAAACTATCAAGGAAAGTCAGGAACTTGGTGATACTAATTCAGACACAGAAAGTGAAAGTTTGTCCACATCTTCAGCAAGCATGAGATACCAGCCATGGATCACAGAACTGCTTTTGCATCAACAATCATCACAACGCAATGATGAAAGATCTGATATATCTCATGGTACGCCTCAAACGTCTACAACCAGAGGTTTCCTTGAAAAGTATTCTAGGCTTGATAGGGGGGCTGGATTTGAAATCTCAACCTATAGAAACGACATGGATTTCAGTGGAAATTTGAGAGAAGCGATAGCATTATCCGGAAATGCCCCACCTGGTCCCCCTCCATTATGTTCAATATGTCAACACAAGGCACCTGTTTTTGGAAAACCTCCAAGGTGGTTCAGCTATGCTGAGTTAGAACTTGCAACTGGTGGATTTTCACAGGCCAATTTCTTGGCAGAAGGAGGGTTTGGATCTGTTCACAGAGGGGTTCTACCAGAAGGACAAGTCATTGCTGTCAAGCAACATAAATTGGCTAGTTCTCAAGGTGATCTTGAATTTTGCTCAGAGGTGGAAGTCCTAAGCTGTGCTCAGCACCGGAATGTTGTTATGCTCATTGGATTCTGTATAGAGGACAAGAGAAGGCTACTGGTTTATGAGTATATATGCAATGGATCATTGGATTCACATTTATATGGTGATTTCTCTTGCTCCAATACCAGATTATCTCATGATAGAAATATATATTAAATTGACTTGAACTTAGTGATAAGACATTGATATATAGTCCATAAACTGTCAAGCTCTTAAGTATTTATGATATTTTTTAGTGTCATTAAACACTTGGAAAACTGTATTAGATAATTTAAAATCATTTTTTTGGTTATAAATGGATATGTCAACTATCATGATATTTTTTGTCTTTAAAGGCTACATTCATGCATATTATGTTAACATAACAATATTTTCATGTTACATTCAGTGATGTGGAAATGGTGACTTGATTGTAAAATGATTTAATACTTTGAAGTATTTCAGGGCGACAAAGGGATCCACTAGAATGGTCTGCCCGGCAAAAAATTGCTGTGGGGGCTGCTCGTGGGTTACGATATCTTCATGAAGAGTGCAGAGTGGGTTGTATTATCCATCGTGACATGAGGCCAAACAACATTCTCATAACTCATGATTTTGAACCGCTGGTAGGGTAGTGCTTTGCTTCCTTTCTACAATGTTGTCATAGTTTACATATTGAAAGACTTCATTATTGAATATTCATCTCACTATAACACTTTCTTGCCTCCAATTTTTAGTTCATTAAAATAGTTGTGGACTGCTTGAAAAAGTACTTATTAAAGGAAAATACTTTTTCAGTTTCCCACAAATCATAATTTTAAGTCTGTTTTGAGGTGCATCAAATGTGTGCTTCATTTTCTAACAGTATAGTAATTGTGCTGAATTATGTTATGGCAGGTTGGTGATTTTGGACTAGCAAGGTGGCAGCCTGATGGAGATACTGGTGTGGAAACTAGAGTGATTGGAACATTTGGGTAAGTGCCGTATTGATCTTGAATTAGTTTCATTGTTAAATTTGCATATACAATATGGGATTGCAACTAAGCTATGCTTTTTCTGTGTAGGTATTTGGCTCCTGAATATGCTCAAAGTGGCCAAATCACTGAAAAAGCTGATGTTTATTCCTTTGGGGTGGTACTAGTGGAGCTTGTTACAGGGAGAAAAGCTGTGGATCTCACTCGGCCAAAGGGTCAGCAGTGCCTTACTGAGTGGGTAAGTTAAGAGTATGATAATAACCAACTTGTTATGTTATTGGATTGTTGGTTGTTGGCACCATTTCAAGATTGAATAGTAACATTCATGATAAACATGAAATTCCAATTGACAAACATAAAAAGCTTCAATTTCTTTTGTTGTTTATGCCTACCCTTGCCTAATTGTGTAAACATTTTGGATATTAAACAGGCACGTCCACTGTTGGAAGAATATGCCATTGAGGAACTGATTGATCCGAGGCTTGATAATCACTATTCAGAACACGAGGTGTATTGCATGCTACATGCTGCATCCTTATGCATACAGAGAGATCCACAATGTAGACCACGCATGTCACAGGTAAAGAAAGTTTTTTGTTTTTTGGTAAACTTTGCCTGCTCCAAAGACCAACTGCATGTCTTGCCTAAGTACCTAAATGTTTCCATTTTCCACTTTACTAATGTGTGATACTAAAATAATTTGTTGCAATTGCCATTAAAAGCTGAGTGTTAGTGGAATAATTTTTTAACAATGTAACACAAAAGGCTTAGTAGTTTGGACATGTTGCTGTGCTCTAAAACAACCTAACCATTTTGGCACACCTGTGGTTGTTTATTCAAGGTTCTCCGAATACTAGAGGGTGACATGGTGATGGATTCAAATTACATCTCAACTCCAGGTTATGATGTGGGAAACAGGAGTGGTCGAATCTGGTCAGAGCCGTTGCAAAGGCAGCAGCATTATAGTGGTCCCTTGTTAGAAGAGTCTCTGGAGTCCTTCAGTGGGAAGCTATCCCTTGACAAGTACAAGTCTTCTTATTGGGGGGATAGGGACAAGGCTAGACGGGCTTCATGTGAAGATGATATTTGAAGTGGTTGATGATGCAAATTGCATTCTTATGTTAAATATGTTTGTTGCCTACCTGTTTTGTTGTTGTCTTTTCTGCAATTGGGTCTAGTTTTGCATCTGTATAGCAGAGTGAAAGTAGGATAGGTAAATATAGAAGTTTTTGAAAAAAAATTAAGGAAATCATGTAAACTAGTGGCTAAATGTCCTTCAACTCTCTCTCCCTGATCTATTACATGGTCCAGGAATATCATGGTCCCCCACTTATCTCTACGTATTACATAATTGAGTTTTATTAGCACTTTCATGTAAATGGAAATATCGATTGTATGTAAGATAAAGATCGGCTTAGGTCATAAATACGGAACAATATTGAATTATCTAATAATTTCTCTTTTCTTTGGTTTCAATGCATTTTTGTGCATAGAAATGCATGTTTGTGCATAGAGATGCATGCATTAAGAAGTGAACAAACTTGTTTCAAGATTGTCATTTGAACTAACAATCAAGACAATGAGAGTGTCAAATCAGTTAGTTTTAAGCCTCGAGGTAAAATCAGATTTTATCTTTTTTTTTTTTTTTTGAACTTTCTGAAGCTTGTAAAATCAAAACATCTTGGTTGGTTGATAATGACAATGTAATTTTCTTGAATTCTTGACGTTTGCAGCATGTGAAACAAAATTTATTGGTTGGCTGATGGGGACAGGGCTGAGAGGTTCAGACATAATACAATCAAGAGACATGTCAAGTGTCTTGTTTCTTGATTATGTATTGACAAGTTAAAAACAATGAAACTCCCACACCTTATCCTGAGGACGACTCTGTCTGATTCTTGTCCATATATCTTACTTATTAATCAACATCAACAACAAAACTTTGCAGAACCCACAACTTTGATTCTTCCAACATTGTTATGTAAGTTTCAAAAGAATTTGATGCAAACCTTTTAATATTAGAGGCCCAAACTAGAGATAGATGACATTTAGAATAGAGTGGTCACAAAATGTATTGCTTTCAATTTTCTAATTATACATTGTTGATGATATTAGTGAAATAGGTAAATAAGGTTATATATAAATATATAAATATATAAATATATATATATATATATATATATATATATATATATCAAGAGCAATCCTAAGGCCATAAAGTATTTACATAGTCAACAAAAATATTATACAAAGAGGAGTTCTAATTGTTAAATTACAAACTAAGTTTGACACCATTAGAATAAGAAAAAAAAATTATAGAGTACACGTATATTTTATTGGTTAGAGACTTTTTTTGATGATCAAAAACAAAATTGTAAGGGTTTAATCCTAAAGTGAATAATATCTTATACCAATGCAGAGATGTATGTGCAAATAGTCTAATAAAAATAACAAACTATAACATTTCACTTGATAAATATATCCTCTCAAAACAAAAATTCCAAAATCATAACCGTAACACTAATACAATTGTTTTAATTCACTCTTTTACTATTTTTTATTTATGAGAATTGAATTTAGTTGGAAAACATCGGAGATCTGGGCTGCTCCAGACAACATCGGATAAAATTCCAATTCAAATTAGATGATAAAGATATTCAGTCAAAAAAAGTGTTAGAAATATGTTGAAATATCTTTAGGTGAATAAATTAGTTTTGATAAAATATTTTATTTATGTGATAAATATTTAGATTTAATCTATTTTGATTATTTCATAATTTGTTTCCTTATTTTTAAGATAAGATGATATTAATATTTAATTTTATATCACAATGACATATGATCCATCTACCTTCATATAAGAACTTGCTTACTTTTTCGGCATCTCTCGCCTACTCTTTTCAGCCTTCGTCTTATAACAGGCAAACTTATCATAAATCCTAAGGACCGAAAATACTGGATCAATGGTTCATAGCGTTCTGTTGTACTACCTAAGGATGCTTAAAAGATTCTATCTTCTCAATGGTCTCAATGATCCAAGTCTAAAAAGCACCTATGTAAGCTCACTTCCTGCAGAGTTCCAACCAGAACTCGCCAGAATGGCTACCGCAGCCAACAAAGACTTTACAGCCTTAACCATGGGTATGATGAATCCAGAAATCTTTCCACCTCACTTTTGGAAAAAGGAGACTACATACTTCATAGCTGCTGATGGAAAAACCTTTAAAATAGAGGTTATTTCCCGAGCATCAGTGAGCATCAGACTCTTCAAAGACTGTATTATTTGGTCCAGAGTCATTGGAAGTAAGCTACCCAACAAAGATCTTCTAATAGGAATGGATGTCTTCAGTTTTGTCCTTAAGGCAATTGGGATTGGATTTTGAACAGTTTTACACCATATGGCCCAAAGAGTTGGTTCAGACAGATCCCACCCAATTTCACAGAATAATTCGAAGATCCCGGAGTGGTCTTCTGTAGGGTCAAACATAGATGGAGGAACTGTTTTAAATCTTAAAGTCTCATGAAGATAATAAAAATAATGAGCTAAGTTTACTGCGTGGGTTTGTAGCTTGTAGATGATCTGGTAATGAAGTGTGGCACAGACAACATCAGAGATCTGGGCTGCTCCAGTGATCTGGACTTGAACCTTTAGTCGGTCTGGCATGGTGAAGTCTTTTAAACTAACATTATAGTTGGAAAATAATGTTAATACAACACTCCCAGCATGAAGTGTGGTTAAGACTGTGCCCATCACCACATTTTCATAATGGAGGTAGCTAGTGTCTAGCAAGGAAACCCTTACAGAGACGGGAAGTTCACGTCTTTCATGAAGTGTGAGCATCAATCTGATGGCTCCATAATGAAGATGGGTATAGTGTCACTCTTTTGATAAAAAAATATATATACCTTTATAAAATACAAATATAAAATAATTCATAAATATGCACTTTGATCGGCCGATAGCCTACTTGTCATGTTTCGAATGAATGTATTCCTATCAAATAGGTAATGTGTTTCTTATTTTAATATTTTTTTGAATATAATTATTTATTTAAAATATTTTCCTCAAAACTAAATATTTTTTTCCTACTTAATAATAATTGCTCTTCAAAATCTTCCATTAGAAGGTACAAGATAGTTTTGGGCCCATCCTCAGACTTCAGACCCTTCAAACCTGGTCATTGCATAAAGTAACAAAAGAAGCAAATATATGTCTGCAATTTGCAAGCCTAATTCATCCATCTCACTTGAATTCATTTTTTATGAAGTTGAGATTTATCATTAGCATGCTAGCATTGTTGCTGCAATTTATTATGGAGTCAAAATAACAAATTAAAACAGGTTATATATTTACAATTCGCGAAATTAAATAATTCATCTCACTTGATTAGATTGTTGACACCATATTGGTTAGATCTTAATTTATTTTCAATATTGTTTTCTTAAAGTTTCATACTAATTAAAAAAAGAGACCCCAGGGAGTAGTGAATCACTAATAACAGGATCCGGAAATCTGGGGATGCAGGTGCAAGTACACCCTACATCTCCATGCTACTAGCAACCATTGGGAGATTAGGAGATACCCTAACCTAAGGATAAAAAAACAAAAGAATAGAAGGTACATATTTATTCACTTCACACTTCTATTATACACTCTTACCTTGGAGTAGAAGTTATGTTGAAGATCATGCTGAAAATTGAAGTCAATCTGAATAACATGAAGATTCCATTTTTTGGATTGGTGTTCAATACAAATATAAATGAACCACAAAACACAGTTTGGTCTTTTTTTTTTTTTTTTTTTTTCTGCTTCTCCTTTTTACATACAATGTATAGACTTCATCACTTTATTTGATGGTTCAATAACATGTTAATATGAAGAAAAAAAAAAGTTAATTTATAACACTTCATCACTCTTATTTGGCATGGTTCTACCAGGACGGAGCTAGGCCATTTTATTTGAAGGATTCAACCATAAAAATTGAAATGAAATTATAATTGTAAAATTAATATATTAAAATTAACTAATAACTAAAAGATCTATAATAATTAACCACACCAACATTTATATTTTGCATAAAAGTGTTTTTAAGAGTTATTCTTTGATGATAATATTATTTTTTTTAACTTTTAATCTAATTTTTTTAATCATATTTATTTATAAATTAAATATTGATATTTTAAAATAAATTATCAATAATTAAAAATAATATTATGTAATAATATAAATTATTTATTTTAAATTAAAAATATAATTTAATCTTAAATATATTTTTAGTTTCTTGCAAATATCCCTCGATCTTGTTTTAATCCCTATAATTTTTTTTGTCATTTTAATTCCTTAACATTTTCTTAGTATTTTTTTAGTCCATTATCTCTAACTTTAGTTAGTTTAGTATTAAAATAGTTA